AACCAACACATAATCTAAGAAAACAAAGACAGCCAGTTGCTGTGCGAGTAGCACAGAAGGTACGATCACAATACCATACAAAATTAAACCAATTAAAAAACACATCTTATCTTTCATATTGTTTTTTGTCAGCTGTGTTTATCTTTCAAAAACAAAGCTCAAAAAATCGGAAAAAATGTTTTTTTAAATAAAAATCACGCTGAACACTGAAAATTTTTAAAAAGTTATTTCAATGTCACTCGAAGCGCTTCTTGAATTAATTGCGTAACCAGGAGCCTGATGAGCCTAATTTTCACAACTTTTTTGTGAGATTTTATTAAAAAAACATTACGAGGCCAAAGTGTGCATTTTGTGAATTGTAAGCGAATTCCGCAACAAGGATGCTGCGTTTGTTCTTTTTTTGTTATTTCATTCTCTTTGATCGTTCCGAAAAAAGTTTAGCATGTTTAAAGACTTGTCTTTGGAATCCAGAAACATACGGACACAAAATTGTGCGCCTATTCAGAGCACAGTTTGGTGTCGTAATGAATAAATGTTCACCTTCATTATCTATAATCAAATTTTTCGTTGTTTGCTAGTGCTGTTTTATGCAAGTTTAGTTGATCAATTGGTTGAAATTTTTCTTTTGGGTTTGAAGAAAAACGCTATTTTAAGTGTTGTAGAAATGTTTTAAGCTACTTGAGGACACGCTGAAAAGAAATTTGATTCGCTTGATTCAAATTCAACAGCAAACCTAAATGAGGATTAAAAAATTGTCCAGCATAAAACTGAGTTTTCAAGTACTGCAATGTTTATGCAAAACTAAGCTGCAATCCCTTCTGTCGTATTACGAATATTGACAAAAGCCTGGGCAAAAACTTTGATACAAGATTTTCAACTCGAACTTTTGTGACTTGCTGGGACTTCTTGCAAATTGTTCTAAAAAGTACTTTTGATCGTGAATTTTATCTTAAACAATAGTAGCGCTTGTTATAAGTTTCTTTTATGTAAAACTTCGTTTTTGTTGATTTGAAGAGGAGTATCATCAAGGTCTCTAAATATTTAGGACAGATTTCTTCCGTCATATACAAATATTAACTTGCTATAACTTCAGCAAATAAAGAAATAATTTTTCTCATTTCATCCAAATTCTATATCCGATCATACAAAATGGAACCTAGACACTTAATAGTAATAGTTCTTGGATGTTTTGGCAGCACGCTTTCAATTCCAGATTGCTTAAAGGCCCATCAAACTTGTCCTTTGAATACGAAGCAATTATCCCTGCTACCTTTTCCTCTGCCAAACTGGGAAGATTGTCGAGATTCTTGCAATGCTCAAGAAAACTGCACTTCGTTCACGTTTTTTGACGGCCGAGGAGTACCATTTAAAAGGATGTGTTTTCTGTTCAAGCAGAAATGTCCTGATTCAGGTATATTTCTAAACTTTTTATCATAGTTACAGGAGGCTGAGGTATTTTCTAGAGATGAGTTGGACGCATTAAGACGCTTTTCTACCTCTCCCAAAAAACTATAAAAAACCCTATTTTGCAAACAAAAATAGCGCAGGCAAATCTCTAAAAAAGACAAAATCAGTTACACAAATCTCACTTTTTGCAAAGTTTTGTCCCGAGCCCACAAAATCACTGAAGGCGCCTTTTAAACCTTTCAGGGCCAATTGGCCAAAAAAATATGCCGTAAACAGGAAAAAATATGAAAAACGAATTGTTTTCAATGTGTTTAATATACAGCAACAAATGACTAACAACTAGCTTAATTTTAGGATTGTTGGAAGCGAGAATATTTGAAATTTTTCTTAATTTTCTTAGCCTTAAAAAAACTACGGAGACAACCTAACTAGCAGAGAAGATTACAAAAGTCTTATATTGAATAAGATATAAAGGCTTACAAAATAAAATTTTGAACACGTTCGAAAAGTAAATAAAGATAGTCGGTGGCAGTGCAAGTAGCACAGAATGTTCCGACCATAATCCTATAAAATATATAATAAAGTGTTAGTTTTTTGCGAGTCGTGTGATAAAAGGATTGAACAAAAACCGGGGTTTTATTCACATTCGTTAGTCGTAGTAAATACGGCCAATCGGACAACTTTTTTACTCGAAAAAAAATTATATGCTAAAACTAAGGCAAAACTTCAGCCATATCTAACATTTTATCTTTTTTTGTAGAATTAGTTTTTAAATTTTGAAGTTTTTTATTACCAAGATGGCGCTAAAAGTTATCGATACTTTTTTTACTGGGGTTCATTTTCTTCTACAATAAACCTGCTCGATTACGATGGTTTTTTGTGGTAATTATTTTGTATTAAAAAAATATATGCCTGTCCGCTCACCTCATTCGCTCACCTCATTCGCACAAAATTAAACAAAAAAAAAATAAAAAATGACTAAAAGAACTTCAATTTGATATATCACTCGACCCTTTCCGATGAATATTTGTTGTGCCTGATTTTGCTTGGACAAAAAAGAAAAAAAAAGAAAAAAAAACTAAAAGAAACCCAAATACAAAGCTCCTCACCATTTTCAATGGTCGGAACAACAAGAAAAAAAGTTAGTGAGAAGCCTTGAATGAAGAATTTCAAGGCTTACTTCAGTTTAACTAGTGCACACTTTGTGTATCAGATCATATTTTGTTTGAATATAGCTACCCAGAAACAGTTGTGAATCTGTTTTCTGTTCATTATCTATTGTAATTTTCATTTCAATGAAACTTGGTACCGGAATTGTTGCAGCTTCTCAGCAGCTACTTTTCATAGAGCTTCAAGTTGAACTTCTTTTCATGATGATTTTGAATTTTAATGCGCTCCAAGTTTTTATATCAACCAATTCGCACACGAAAAAAAATGGCTAAGCAAAGTTTTTATAGGCTGCAACAATTTTTTCTACGGTAAAACTGTTCTCGGTCTTACAAAATCTACAGATTTGTCAATTTTTTACCCAAAAAAGCAACGTGTTTTTAAAACAAATTATTTGATTCTGTATTGTTGTTTTTCTGGGAACCTTCATGTCTCCATTTTTATTAGTTTTTCCTGTTTTATGAAATTTAGTAACTGATTAATTCAAAAAATCCTCAGCTTAAGTTTTTATTGTTCGGGTTTATGGAACCAGTTTGAAGCTAGTTATTTAATTAATTTTATTTAACTTTACTGTAAAAAATTCATAGCCAAACCAGTCATAATTCATGACTAAACCCTACTCTATATTTGTAAACCTGAAAACCTAGTGGTTCAGAGAATTAAAAATAAAGAATCAAATCAGCTATTTTCTTTTCTCCAGTAACTTTGCTAAAAACCAGTATGCTGCTAAATCTATTGAGATAAGGAGATACAAAGGTAAGATTAGGATTGATATTGTTCTAACAAGTTGCACGAACCTATCCGACCGAAAATAGATAGCGTGACGAACAGACGATGTACCCTATTCGAAATTATTCTATGAGAAGGCCACCCCGGACCTAAGCTCATTGAGTTTTTTAACTGATTAATCAGGTAATAAATTGTTTTTTTTTTGTGTTCGGCTTTTATAGAGTTGAATGATGTGGTAGTTTTGATTGATATAACATCCGCGCACAACTTCATGCTAATGATTTGTTGAAGCTTGCTGATTTTTTGAACTAAGATTAAGTGCTTCCTTTGTCCAATTTTCTAGATACCTTTTTCTAAGTATCAATTTTCTCAGAATTGGAAAATAGTTGATCCTATCTATTTGCATAGCTCTTACACGCCAAACTTTCTGATTTGGGTTACATATCAATGGTTTTGTGTCACCGAATTGTTTTTTTTTCATTGTCAATTTAATTATTTTGGCGTTTTCTGCATTTGTTATTCAATTGAATGATCAGATTATTTTTTGCTATGAAATCTCAAGTAATCTCAAGAAATTGTGTAAGACCCCAATTGAGAATTTCAAACATTTTTGATTGCATTTCATATTAGTGTTTAAATTTATATTTATGTTTGGAATGTTTCACAGCTCTAAGGGACAGTTATGATGTGCGTAGTAACTTGATTAGCCCTGTTTGATTGCCCAAAAAATCATCGGTGCTCAATGTAATTCTAGTAGTTGCATAGTCGCAATTTTTGTTCAAAAAAGAATCAAATAATCCCATGAGAGTGCGGTTTGCTGCTTGTTATTGTTATTTTTCTCTTCAAAACCCTTCAAATTATTTTTTATTTCATGATTTGGTTGAGGGTCGGTAATTGTGTGTAAAAGTTTTAGAACGTATCCAAGTTTTGCAAGTTCCCTGTTCTTGGTGATATGTAAAGACATGATAAAATCACTGAAAGCTTCAAAATCATTGATGGACACCATTGAACTATCAAAATTTGGAGCATTTTATCAATCAATTTTTTTTCTTCCATTTTTCATACACTATGCGGTTTCGGGATAGGTACATACGCCATCCAATCGAGTATTTCTTGAGTGTTCAATTATGTTTTGGTATTGACTGTTTAATTGGAATTGGCTTGTTGATTTTCTTCCAATCAAGTTTCTGTTGAGCAATCTTTAATTTTGGGTTAAGTTGGTTCATTGAAATTTTTAATACCGTGCAAGTCTCCTCGAATTGTAGATTTTCGTTGTTCACTAATTAAAAAAATACTTGAAAAACAGTTCGGAGACAATGTTTGAAAAACAGGCAAAGAAAAGCGTTTCGAGAAATTTCTACAATTCTTGTGCCCAGAAAGTGCGTTTTTTGGCCTGCGCTGCGCTCTCAAGTTTTTTATTAAGTTGCGCCTAGAGCAACCCGAGAAAAACTTTAGGCTTGATTGGCCGAAACTAGATGTCGTAAAAAAGTTTCCACGCGGGAATATGGCGGGTTCGAACCCTTTGTTAATGAGAGGATCGAATATCAAATAGGGGCATGTCCATCCATTATTCCCTCTCAAAATCTGCTCACGGATGAAGCCAGATATTGGAGCCAATAAAAATTCGTTGTTCTGTTATTATTTGTTTATTGCAAAATCCTTCTTGGAGTTGTCTGCCCTATTTTTTGCATAGAGGTAGTCTCCTGTGAAGGCTGTTACTCCGGCTACCAATGTCACTACTGCAGTATAGAAGGTATGGCTTTCTCAATGGACGGGGGAAATCTGCTTGGAATGTTCTCAGAAACGGACGAGGAAAGTTGCCGAAAGAAGTGCGCAGAAGACGAAAAGTGCTCGTATTATACAATTCATTTGGCTGACAGATACCTCATGCCTAATACGTGCACTTTGATGTCGGCTTCTTCAAAACCCGAGGTCTGCAAGTCGTGTCGAACGGGTCCAAAATCTTGTAACTTTTACGAAAATTGTAAACCGAACGAAGCTGTTATCATGTCAGCTTCGAATCTTTCGTCTTCTCAGAAAATTGAAACAAACGAAACTATCAAAATCGATACTATGGGCTGCACGGTCAAAGCAAACTTGCTTGCAGTGGGAGGTGGTGGCACTGGTGGTAGAGACAGTTTCAGCTCCAGTGCCAGTGCGTGAAATAAATGCATACAATTTCTAAAATTATAGTTTTCCGACAAAATTTGTTAAGTTGCTTTGAATCCGCAGAAAATTAACACACACACACACACACACACACACAAAACAGAAAATATAGGTTGATTTTTTTTAGCATCATTAACTCGGGTCGAGATGCTCACTGTGCGTTTTGACGCGTCAAGATCAAAAATCAGTTTGTTTCGACCGTGTCGATTAAATTCGGTATTTTTCGACTTTCTCGACCTAAGTCGGGTTATGTTTTGATTTTCTCGGCCAAAAAGTGCTCAATTTTGCTCGACCCTAGCAAGATTTGTTTTGACCGTCTCGAACAAGTTCAGGTTTGTTTCGACTTCCAATCTACATATGCTATCCAAAAATAAACTTTACAATTTATGCTTTTCGGGTAAAGTCTCGGCTTATGCTTTTCAGGATGATTTTCTTCAGTATGAAATTAATTTAGTTTTAATGGTAATTCCAATGCTTCGTATACTGAACTGTTTTTGAGCTAACTTTTTCTGTCTTATGGATTTCTGCTTTTCAATTTGTCGAAAACGTTCAAACGTTGGCTGCGCGCACCGAGGGTCCATGGACTCTAATCGGTTATAATGGATTCCCGAGAGACAAATAATCCATTATAATCCATTAAAGATGTAAAGTTCAGACCACGAAATCATTTATATTGCCATTATAAATCATGAATTTGGAAAAAAAATTCCAACTTAATCCATTATTTTTGGCAAGTAAAATCGATTAATTTTGCCAATATAATCCATTATTATCAATTATTTTTGAAATGAAAATCCATTATAATCCATTATAATCGATTATAATCTATTTTATTTTTAGAACTAAATTCGGTCTTTTATGCAGCAATTTTGCAAATAGTTGCAAAAAAATTTGCAAAACGAATGCCAGGTTTTTTTTTACTAAATGCCATGTCTCAACGTCACTCCCTCAAGTTTTTTGACTTCTCCCCAACTAAAGGGGAATAAACCGAGAGCCGAGACTGGGAATAAACGGGGGGGGGGGGTCAATAATTGACCCCCTTACCCAAAGTTTACCAATGAAAAACTCCCCCATGTTAAATCATAAGGGGGGATGGCGCTTGTGGTAAACTGGCAGTGAGGGGGGATAAACGGGGGCAGGGTAAGTAAAGGGGGTGTAAACTGAGACAAATTGAAAAAGTAGAGACAAAAAAATATAAATTTTAATGTGAAATGTAACATTTTATGACACGTAATCCGTAGTAACTACATTAAACATGAAATGGATTATATTGACATATGAAATATTAGGGTTGTAATTAATTTTTAATTGACTATAATTAAAAACTTTGTAATTTTTATAGATACTGACCATCTTATGACCATATTATCGATTATGATCCATGGCGCTCGGTGCGATTGATTTTGAAAGAAATTTTCGTGTTGACTGCGTCTTACACGGGGACAATTGGTATGTTTCGACCCTAAACTCGGCCAAACTAAGGTATTCTTTGCTGTTTCCGTCCAAAATGCTGAAACGGTCTCGAGCGAATCCGGGTATGATTCGGCTTTATCGACCGAAAAGAGTGGAAAGAACCGTGAAAAGATATGTTTCGACAAAAAAACATTCTCGAAAAAAATATATTCTCGTTTTTTGCTCGACCCAAGCGAGATATGTTTGACAACCTCGGACAAAGTCGGATATCTTTCGACTTTCAATCAACTTATGCTACCCAAACATAACTTTTATAATTCATGCTGTTCCTGTAATGTCTCGAGTGCTCGAGGTATACTTCGACCGTGCTCGAGTAAGTTTCGACCGTGATCGGGGTATGTTTCGACAGCGCTCGACCGACTTTTGATAAGCTTCGACCGTGTACGCACCATGTTTTGAGTCTGTGCACGACCCAAACCTCTGTATCGACTATTCATTTCCGTTCTAGCAATGACATATGCTCGACGTTCAAAGCCGAAACAAATAAAATGAGCACCTCGGCCCGGGAAGTGTAGAAAATTTGGTCTAATGTTTCATGTTTTGAAGTTTATTAATGTTTTTGCGCTCACTTTTAATGATTTTGCTCGAACTTTTGAAGTATCCATTTTTTCTATCTTTTCTAATGATTTTGCTTTCACTGCAAACTAAAATTTTTGAAAGCTGATTCAATAATGTCTAATGAATAAAAAACTTTATTGAAAAACTTTCAATTTTTCCATGGATGGGGCTCTACAGATCAATTTGGCCATTTGTCAAAAACAGAACATAGAAAATGGTTCAAAGGAAAATTGAAATTAAATTATATCACGTAGCGAGATATGGCGGTGGTGGCAGTGGCTTCTTGGACTACTCAATTATTTCTATCCCTTTCACGAAACGGTTCTTCACTTACGTCGGCAAAGGCTGGGAGAAAGGGTACAGCTTACAAACTAATAGCTGATATGCCTCAGAGCTTTCCAGAAATCAAATGCGGGCCAAGATTTTTCTCGAGGAAAGTGTGTGTGTGTGTGAGAGTGTGACTGTGTGTGTGTGTGTGGGGGGGGGGGGGGAAAGCACTGAAACTTAAAAGTACTGAAATTTTAGTAGTTTTTTTTAAATACCCAAAGTAATTCGGAACTCCCAGAAAACGGAAGGTTTTGGAAATTTTGACCAAACGTTTTGGCGCAAGCTCACCGTCAAAGTTTAGTATACATTGATTGCGAAGGCGCATATTTTTTTTAAGGGTTGGATGATCAAAATTGTGTGTCGATCAGGGGGTCAAACATTTCGGTGCCAAAAAGAAGCGGATTCTGAGCTGCGTTTTGGTCAATTTATTTTTGAGATCGATCGAGTAACTTTTTCGAGCTGTCCTCAAAGACGTTTTGTTTTGCAAAAAGGCTGAGAAAATTAGTTTTGCAAAAATGCATCCTCGTGATGCCCTTGTTCGAAGATTTTGACCAAGCTAGGGTGTTTGGGCGCTCATTTTTAATCTAGAGGAAAAAATGATCAATTGCTCAAATTTTTCACAAAAACCTGACAAAAACATTGACGAAAAAGGATCAGAAAGTTTCCAAATAGTTCAGAACATTCTGAACAGCTTTTGCGGCTGATAATTATCCAAAGAAATGGTTTTTGTGTTTATATTTGTTAAATTTAGTCGGTATATTATATGATGGTCCGAACCTGAACCGGGGTAATTAAAATTTGAATCCGATTCAGCTCCGATGCGTATAGCAGAGAAAGCAGCTCATATACATCCCATCGTGTATCATATTACGATGAATATGCGGATCATTTCGCAGAACCTCAAGAGCAAAGTAATCTCAAATCCACTTCCAACTATTATGCTGGTCAGAACACGATGGTTATAAGTGAAGACGGGGAGGTCATAGCTGATGCAAAGGTGCGTAGACGACAAAAATCAACGAAACATATTCATGTAGCAGTAATATAACTAGCAAAGACTGCTCGTGTAAGTCGATGCCCTGAATGTTCCGATTGTCCATTTTAAATTTTGAGTTACATTTCTTACAAAAATTTTCATTACGAGGCAAAACTGTTCACTGGAAAGGCGCACAATTTTGTGTCTGCATGTTTCTGGGTTCCAGAGACAAGTCTTTATTTATGTTAAAATTTTGTCGAAACGATAAAAAAAAGAACAAAGAAGAACAAAGATTCATCGTAATGTTGAATTTTACAAAAAAACCGTCAGCAAATTCAAAAAACAAAATGATATATTTAGCATTTAAAATTACCCTATATGGATCATTTAGCGCGCATCAATTCGATGTGGATTTTTTTGAGCTGGGCTAATTTGGCGCGTTTACTACGCCCTAGATAAATTAGACATTTTCGCACTTAAGTTACCACAAAGCGGCCAAATTAGTCACAAACTCAAGTCTCCATATCTTCATGGTAAAAAAAACTGTTTGTCAGAATTGCTGAATTAAAAAGTGAAAATTGCTCCAAGCAATTTTTTTCGTCACTTTTGTCACAATAATATGCAATAACATTCAGATGCTAGTCTGTGTAATTGTTTGCAACACATTAGCTCAGAGCAAATGTAAATTGGTTGAGCCAAATGTAACAGGCGGCAATTGGAATCAGAAGATTAAGCAGAGAACACTGATTCACATGCAGTACCCTATTTGCTAATGGATTGTTACGAGTTGCCGCCTGTTACGAATTGTCGCCTATTACAAATTGTCGCCTATCACGAATTGTCGGCTGTTACGAATTGTCGCCTAATAGGAATTGTCGCCCAACCCACCAAATGAGCTGAGATTCGGAATGACTGGGTCGAGTTGAAATCCAGTATTATATAGATTGGCTGTGATGGGAAATAATCTTGGTTTGTTATAGGGTGGAGAAGGAGGTTACAGCACTGCGGGGGGCGATGGGTTCAGTGGGGGAGGATCTGAAGGGGGACAATGCGGCGGCTCCAATGGAGACAACGGGGGTAGCTCTAATCAGGACAAGGGTGGAAATGGCAGTGGAATCGACATCAGACGGGATGTCCAGCCTTTGTTTCGAGAGTTTGAACTGGAACCGGCTCCGGGAGGTAGGGGATCTACAAAATCTTCAAGCAGGGTCGCCAGCGGAGGTGGAGGCGGAGGAGGTGTTTTTGTCAATGGGAGAAGCTATTCGTATGGCCAAGGAGGTGACGGGTATGACTCATCCAGACCACCGCATGGGAACTCAGGTGTCATACTTTTCGAGATACAGTTCTAGCGTTCTTTGAATATGTAACTGCCTCATTGTGTTACAGAATATCTCAAATTAAACTGACGATCGTTTTCCAGATACTTCATTCAATAACAGTTCTAAAATGATTCTTTATCTTTGCTGTGATTTATTATGCTCTCAAATCGCTTGTATTCTTTTCGAGGTAACAATTTTGCCAAATGTAATCAAATTAGCCAAAAAATAACTGACTGTCTCACATGCACAATTATAATTTTGAATTTAAATTGTTAAGCTTCTAGAAATCACATAAGACAGCTCGATCGGGGCGATGAAATGTAAATAAATTAGGTTTTAAATATTATATAATTGAGGTTCTATTGAGCTTACCTCAAAAATTATCAAAAATTTTGCTGGATTCTCGGGAATAGTTTACAAGGTTGCATTCTCAAATTCTTCAATTTTATACATCATATGCATTTCAAAATTAGTTGAAAAATTTTTTTGTCGCCATCAATGAAATGCTAGTCATACAATTTCCATATATGGGAATTGTATGATAAGCATTTTTTCAAAAAACAAAACCTCGGTTTTTTCATCACCAGACTGTTTTGTTAGAATTAAACAGCCGCAGAAATTAATTTTTATCTTTTTTCAACCACTTTTTGAAATTGTACGAAAATTGTATGACAAGCATTTTTCCATGCATTTGATGTATGAAATTGTATGATAAGCATTTTCGGTGTATGGAGGTCAACCCGGGACTATTGCAGCCGACATAGGTCAGGCTGTGATAGGCATAGAGCTAGAGGTCAAACGAGAGCTTGTCCTCACACACTATGGCCATCGCAGAGGATCGAATACACGAACGAATTTATGGCCTCAAGTTGATATACTTTTAGGAAAGCTATAAACCGCTCTTTTCTCAACCTCTCGTCTTAGACTTTTGCTCATTAAAAACTACAAGAAATGATTTTTTAAAAAGAAGTTAATTTGCCCCCAGTCAACATTCGAATAACTCGAAAGTTAATTGATTTTTTTATTCATTCCGCGTTTTGATTAAATAGATTAAAACTTGTTGATGTACAAAAAAAAGAAAACAGATTAAAAAAATTCAATTTTATGCAACTTAACCTCATCATAGACTGCATTTATATTATGATACATTGATTAATACTATCAAGTTGGCGAAAACTGAAATGCTCCAAAACTACTTCAAATTGTGCTGACTATTATCCGACTAGTTGTTGATCTCCGCTTGAAGATTCGACAAATTCGAATCAATTTGAACCGAGTGGCCCACCATTGTCGGTTTGAACTGCGCGGCCAGTCGCAGAATCTCGGACGCCAAACTTTCGAACTCGGGATTTGTGCACTTATCGTTGACATTCTCCAACATTTCGCCATACTTTCCGTAGAACACATCTGCTCGGTTCACGTTTTCCGAGTCCCAATTTAGAATGTTCTGGGCAGCTTTGTTCACGCTCGGATGCTCAACGCTCGCCTGTACTTCGGATTCGAGCTCGATTTCCGAGCTGACGATTTCGCTGTCGGCTTCATTTTCCTCCGACACGACTAGCAGCAAACACTGATTTGTCAAATTCACGACATCTGCAACATGACATTTGCAATCTGATTCTTCATTTTCGGATAAAATATTCATTGAATTAGCTTTCCGAAGAATTTCTTGGCAAATATTTTGGATTTGGACTAAAGTTTTGTGAACCATTTTCTGTTGGTTATTGCTGATGCTTCAATATTGCGCATATTGTTTCCATCTCCAAATACAAAAGCCGCCAAAGTTAAACATGCAAAAATTGTTTTTCCAATATCAGGCAACATTTTTAAAAGTCTTTCTGTTTTTGTTGTTGTTTTGACCTATTTGAGTTTTTTTGTTTTAAAGCAGCCAATTGGTAGTTGGTTTTTCCTGAAGAGTGAATTGCTGAACTATTTGACTCTTTGTTGAACTCGTTTCCCTACTTGATTCCAATATGTTCCGCAATCAGGGATGCTCATTTCAAACTGTTCACTAAGTTAGATTTTGTGAATGCGCTGCATGCCTATTTGTTATTGAGAAGTATTTCGAAAGTTAATTGAACTTTAAAGTTGCGAGAGGATAGCGTTTGAAAAAACCGAAGCACAGAAAAGCCGAAAAGTTTGAACGGACTCAAAGTTAAACAGTTTATAAAGTCAGAAGCAAATCTAAGCTTTTCGCAATGGGGCCTTACAAGTTTGAACTCTCAGCAAATTTTCCACCCTTTTTATGAGTTGGGCAAACTAAATTTGCAGCACCAAAACAGTTGTTATCAATAATTTGTCGCCGCAGGCAAATTTCAAAGAAATCTGCCAAAAAAAAAGATTTGTTTTTTCAAAAATGATCGATGACTTGCAGTAGGAAGCGCGCGACAAAAAAACGTGTAAAACATGCGTCCTTCTTATTTGGTTAAGAAATTGTTTATAAATTGATTAACTTTTTTGAGCCGAACCAATTAGAACTATCAGAAGACCTGTCCTTATACAACCCGCAGTAACAAAAATGGATTTAATGAAACTATATTGGATTTTAAACAGTGCGAAGCTAAATACAAAATTGAACAAGGATAACCATTTACTGTGCAAGTAGCAAAAAATGTTCCGACCAGTCTTAAAAACCTACAAAAAAATTGTTTTTTCATTTAGTGTCGTTTTTTTTGGCTTGGTGTGATAAAAGAATCTGAGCGAAAAAGTAGAGCTTAAGCATTTTCGTCAGTCATGTAAAATATGCAAATTGGAAAACAATTTTTGAAGACAAATAACAAGAAAAACAAAAATAAATTTAAAAAAAATTAAATCTTTTTTAAAATAAATTTTCGCGACTTTTTTCCTAAATTTTTGAAGTTTTTGATTCGTAAGATGAAGCTATACCGCCCATAAACCAACTTATCTGAAAATTTTTTATTTCGCTCGAATCACGACTAAAAGGGCTTCAATATGATATATCACTCATTTTGTCCAAAGCTTATTTGTGGTAGCTGATTTTGCGTGGAATACAAAACGAAGAAAAACCTTAAACACACCCGAAAACATAGTCGAAATCAACAACTTCCTGCACAAATTAGCAGACAATGATTGCAACGTTGATGTGATTAACCAGATTAATGCAAACGCCATTTTATATTCTCAGCAGTGTACGAAACAATTCCCAAACATAGCTGTTATTAAAGCTAAGCAGTATTTAGAGGCGAACAATCTTGTCGAAGTTCTTTTTGACAAAGGCTTGGGATTTTGTTTACTGTACAAAACAACTTACGTTTCCAAAGTCCAGCAATTAACTAGTGGTGATCAGTTTGAGTCATTGGACGTTACCAAACCCCATAAAATGCTAAAGAAGTATCTATTGCAGAAGAAGAGAAAATCAATGCTGAACTGTCTGATTTGAGGAGAAACGGTCTTTTATCTGAAGACCTTTATAAGAAGTCTCGCTCCACTGGTGTTCAAGTTGTTCGATTGAATGGTCTAGCTTAAGTTCACAAAAACAACTCACCATTGATACCTATACTGTCTTTGCCTGGCTCTCGTTATCAAAATTTATCCGTGACTTAACAGCTTGAATGAGAACCTGAAGTTTACTTGTAAACAAGAATCTTCTTGCAGTTTACCTTTTTTAAATTTTTAGCGCTGATACCAGCTTATCCACTACTTGGTGCGATAAACCAACAGCCACTGAACTGTGTATGAACTTCCACTCTGTTGCTGATACGAAGTATAAACGTTCAATCGTAGCAGGCATGGTGTACCGGGCTTAACGCTCATGCTCATGCTGATCCTTATTTATTTGTTGTTTAAAGTTAGGATTGTCCATACTCGAGAAAAATCAGTATCCTCCGGAATTTTATAACCCTATTGTTAGAAAAACACTTGGCGATAATAATACTACTGATCATGATAAACCTAAGCAGACTCGTGGGTCAAAGAAAAGTGATGACAGGGTTTTTGCCTTTATTCAGTATCGTGGTTCCATTACCGACAGTTTTTTGAGAAAATTTTTTTCTGACAGTGACATTCCAGTACAATTGAATCTTCTTACTGCGAAATTACGTCAATATGTTTCTGCACTTAAGGAGCCTGTTCCTTTATTGTTCCGAAGTCGTGTCGTGCATAAAATTATATGTCGGCGACCAGTCCGTCATCTTACGACTCCTTCGCGAATATAGTTACCAGGCTGCTCCAGTTCGACAACATTTAGATTCTTGTAATACTCCAAAATCAACAGTTACTATCAAAAATATTCAGAGCAGCAACAGTGTGTCAACTTATCATTTGAGTGTTTCCCAGTTACGACCATCCTTCAATACTCGCGACAAATTCAATTCGAAGGACTTCTTAGTGAGATTTCATTGACTCGAAAGGCGACGCTCGTAGTTCAATATTATTGCAACTTCGTTGTCGCCTACCCATGACTTTTAATTTAAAAAATTCTGGTGCTACCAGTGTGTGTAATTTTATTGCTCTTTTCACAGTGTATATAGTTCTTCAGATATGTCCTCATGATGAGTTTTGTTACTCGAAATGCATTGGCATTTTACATCTTTTTTTTTAAATGAAAATAACGTTCCTCCCCATTTTCAATGGTCGCAACAATAATCTACAATCACTTTGCGACCAATAGTCGATTTTATACAGATAGAGTAAACTTTTTTCAGTAAACATTTACAATTTCCCGTATAAAATTAATCAATTTTCTGTAAAGCCTGCATACAACCTTATATAATCTGAAAAAAAAATTGTTTGAAACTTATGTAACAATCTGTTTGAAACTTATGATATTGTCTATAACCTACAGAAGCCGTATAAGGGCCAGTGTTAAGCCTCAAACATTTAAACCATATTAACGTATGGGTTTCTTCACAAACTTTTACTCACGGGAATCTCCATTGTTGCGAGCTGAAAAGTTATTGAGAGCTAAGTACAGGTGGAAGATAGTGGCTGACCGTAAGACCATAAGATTCAGAAAATCCGCTTAAGTTTCTGCAATCAAAGGATTTTGGCGGTCCGACAAACATTTTTAATGAAATTTTCTCCAAGTTTCTTTTCAAGCAACAATTTTTCAGAGCTATTGTCATGTCAGCAAACAAAACATTTGAAAAATCATTTTTCATTAAAATTTTTTTGCTCCAGCTCATTGCATATAACGGATATCTATAATGTAATTTTTCGATTTTTTGAGGGTCGACTTAATTGGTTTCCTGAGCGCTTCCGGAAAATTATTTATAAATTTTGAAACTTTTTTTAAAATCAGGTCAAAATAGCCATTTTTGGGAACTTTTGAGACAACTTTGATAAAAAAAATTGCGTTTATTTTGCGCGCCCTCACAATGAAATGAAAGTTTAAGAAAATATGAGACTAAAATTTAAATAAAGAACAAGGTCATTTTCTTTTAGAAAAAATAATTTTAGGGAACATTATCAAAATTTTAGATAACACTTTATTTTACAGTTTTGCATTGCCATACTAGCTTGGCAACTTGATGAATATCAAGATTCCTTTGTCGATCCATTACATCATTGCATAAATTCAAAAACCTAACACGATCACTCAACACGATCTAAATATTTTTGAAGAACAAGCAACTGTACCCTTTCTCTGCATGAAGACAACGACTCCACAACACGAGCAACGGTTTCTTTCTCCTCATTCACGCAGCCACTGCTTCAAACGAATCTTCTCTAAGAATCAAAAAATCTCGCCATCCATCTGTCTCTACAATGAACATTAAATTTAAAATTTACTAACCACGGATCGATGGAGCCACATTAAAACTGGTATCTATATCCAATTATATTATTGATAAAACTATATCTGTAAAGTATTTCTAACTAACAAATCATGATCCATAAACAACACTTACGATAAATTGTAAACCTGAAATTATTCATAGTTTCAGCAAGAGAACAAAATAAATATATTTTAGCAAACAGTCGTTCTCCTTCAGAACAGTTCCTGATATCTTATCTCGCAAATGCAGTATACACTAGATCTATTGAGACTAAGAGATGTAAGAGTAAGAGTAACATCAGAATTAGACTAAAAAGTTGCACAAATCTATTCGGCCGAAAATAAGATAGCGTGACGATAAGACTGTGTACCTTATCTGAAGTTACTCTATGAGAGAGCCACCACGGGCATAAATTCAATTTTGTTTAAAAATAAGAAATTTGCAAAAACCTTGATTTGGGCCAACTTTCTGGACTAAATAAATTGAAACGTTTTGAATCAAAGTATCTAAACAAACATTCAAAGTAGTTGACATAGCCAGCCTGTAATATGAATACGAAGAAACAATCGGGGTTGAAATAGGCATTTCAATTTCACTTCCTTTTCTACTGTTTGTGGCGTTAGTCATATAAATTTTTTACATATATATATATGTAAATTATCATTGTTCTTTTCAAAAAAACTAATTATAAGAAACTCAAACGAGACTGCTCGTATCAGGGCGAAGCCCTGAATGTTTCGACTGCCTTTTAAGGTTTATGGAGCAGCAGTAATAACATTAAAAAAATAAAATAAAATAAAATAAAATGAAATTTTTTTTTTCTTAAGTTTGAAATTGTTTATGAAAATCATCCCCCCACACGCCATTTAAAGTACAATAAGATAGATTTCATTCCTTGTAACAAATCAATTGTAGCAAAGAAGGTTGGTTCAACCAATTTGGAACGATTTATAAGAAGGATTAAATCTCCGCTTACTCGTTAATATCGAATTATATCGCGCGTTAATTGTCCCAAATTGGTCAATATGGCCAAAATGGCAATCTTTAAACCCTCATAACTTTACGAAAAATGATCACAGGTGAAATATCTTTACAAATTCAAGCTCAAGACAACAATACCTTTTGAATGATATAAAAAATTTCACTCAAAAATTGTTAGTTAAAAAGTCTAAATTTGTCTGAAGAAAAAAAACCCACCCCGAGCACAAATATTCCGTTACTTTCGTATCGAAAGTCGGAACAACAAGACTGCTTGCGTATCACAAAGCACAATTTTGAATGTTACGATTGCACTTAAAGGCAGATTTAAAAGTTTTTTGGTCGGGACTTTCGTGCCTTCGATCTCTCACAGTCAGTTTATTACAACCCTAAGCTTTCCTAGAACAAATTGAATGAAACGTTATTTTCATTTATAAGAATAATTATACGCATTGTCTGGTGATTTTTATGAAGACAATTGTCGGTATAATTCAATGACACCAATTCGAAGTTTAATTGAGACTAATGTACCCTTTTTGCGGATATCCTTTTTTCTAGAATAATTTTTTTTGGAAAATTTAAGGCAGAATCGATATTCGCAAACAGACGCAGATGATCCTTGATTGCTTCATTTGAAATGAGAAATCGTCTTTTGACAACATGAAATAAGCCAACTTTTATGTTTATAATTGAATAATAACACTTTATGTCAGCTGTTTATAAAAAAAGGTTTCAAGTAACGCAATGAGGCTTTTTTTTAATTTTTTATTAGAAGAAGCCATTTTTGAATATTCTTTTACACACTTTTTTTCAAAAAAGCTGAGAAATCAACTTGCAAAAAATATATAATTTGGTCAACAAAAAATTCAAGATTCAACTGCTAGCTACAATAGCCATATTTGAAAGCAACTTTTTTATTAGTAGACCTTTTCATGAACTGTGTTATATCCAATTTGCGATTCGTGATTGCTTATGCTATTGATGTAAGGGAAAAATCAAATTTCATAGAAAAAGATATTCAAAGGCTAATGAAAAAAAGAACTTTTTGGATCAGAAAACTGCTCTACAATATACACGGATCGAACAGAAGTTACTGTTTTCAACAATAAGTTGAACATTTGGAAAAATAAAACTGGTTTACATTTTAATTTAGCTTGCAAAATGTTTTTTGCAACAACCGAAAACATGCTTTTTCAGTGTTTTTGAGAACCTTGGTTATCTTTCTTTGTCCAATGTTCATATAAAAAATAAAATTTATCTATATGTACATGTATATCTATATATACATAGACATACCTTTATAATGAAAATGAGTGACCCTGTATCACGTTATCACTGTTGGAATAAAAATTCGGTGAATTTTCTTATTAAAAGTAGATGCCCGGTTGCTGTGTAGAGGACTCAAAATGCACAGACCACGCTTATTTTTGTTCCAACATTTTGAAAATAGGGAAAAACTTTATATTCGAGTGTTTTTTTCTACTTTTTTTGTTTTCCGCCCAAAAATGGACTGGGTTGACTGATAGATCATAAGAAAAACCTTTCAGTCGTGATTTGAACCACACTAAAAATTTCCCAAAATTTTTCTAGTTTCGATTTGGATTTGATTTTCAGAAAAACGCTCAACAAGCAATTCTGTAGTAGTGATATTATTGAAAGCATATAACATTGTTCTCACTGACCAATGAGATTTTACTATAAGCCATCGTTTACCAAGCACCGATGTTGAACGGACGCTGAAGTCGATATATATTGTTTAAAAGCACCGTTCAGTAGCGTTCCTTCTGTATTCTTCAGTTATAAATTGCCATTGACTTTTTCTCAAAAAAAATCTTCAGGGGGAAATTTATCAAGCTTTTTTAAGCAAAAAAACTATCGAGAATTTTACTTAAAAATATCGTTACTCAAAATTCGTGAGTAAAATTGAAATTGGTCTGCGCAGAAAATATTACACAAGAGCTATCTCGGAGCGAACATTATGCGATTTACCTTTTTGTCTTCTTATTTGATTGTCTTGTTCCAGTTTTGCTTCTACAAGTACCCACTTGTTTTTACAGCCAGTAATCCAAGAGTATTTGCAATTTAGATGTAAGAATATAAGAAGTCAAACCTAGCCAAAAATTGGCTTACGAACAACAACGTGATTCATACGACCTTACAAAGTTCAAAAGCAAACATTCCCAGTGTCGAGAAAAAACGGTTTGAATTTTTTTTGTTTCGTCTTAATTTGAGAAAATAAAGCGAGCGAGCAGGCTTACAATAGGTTTTTATTTTAAGGCTTAAAAGCTTACAATACCTTACTTTAGCATAGGCCACGTAAACTTAAATTTACTCGAACAAATATATATTTTTTGAAAATTTAAGCGATTTTTTGGAATCAAATTTACAAAAAATCAAAAAACTACAAAAAAAAATTGAAATTTTGGATTTTTTTTTGGTTTTTTAGTCATTTTTAAACAGAAGTTGTTTTCCAATTTGCTTATTTCTTTAAGACTGTCGAATATGCCAAAGTTTTTCTTTCAGATCTTTTTATCAGTCAACACTAATTTCAAATTAATTTCTCAATTCAAATTTGTGCCGTAAAAACGACACTAATTTGAAATAAAAATTTTCTTGTGTTTTTTATACTATGGTCGGAAATGGTTTTTCATGGTTTCACTGATTTTTTAACAAGTTATATAACTGAGGAATGTGAATTGTCCAACAAAAATAAGAAGAAAAAACAAAATTTGAGCAATTAATAAATTGGAAATGCAGTCTGAATATTCTCCAGTCTAAAAAACAGTCTTTGAAAATCTGTCCTTTTTCTCAAAACTGAAGTATTTTTTTGGAAAAATCGTTTTAAATCAATTTATGAAAAAACCGTTAGTATATTTTTGCATAAGCAATAAAATAATCAATTTTTGTAATTCTAATGAATTTTTACAATTTAGATATTACGACTAAAAAATAGTTTGATAATCTGAGTTTGGGGAAAAAGTGCTTGCATCTTTTATGAAACATGCATTCAAAACCGCATTGCGAACTTTTTTGAGTTTTTCTACGTCAAATTTTAGTGAAACATGAATTTTTTGCGCCAACCAGTCTAAATTGGCTGAAAAAGTTTTAAGAGAAGACCCAAGTAAGCTTTCGATCCAAAAAAAACATTTTGCACATCATAATCATGCTCGTATCTTGTTCCTCTGAAAAAAAAGCAAAAACCGACCGAAGGTCAAAATGAGCATTAAAAAGTGAGTTTCTGTAGTTGGTTGGTTGACAAACAGTATTCAAAATAAATATTGTGAATTTGTTTTCTCGCATTTTTATTGGTCACACTCATGAATAAAAATAGTTTATCACACTCATAATACACTTCGAAAACACTCTCTGTCCACTGCGGAATGTCTGTTTTCCACTCAATGTCACTATGGCCCGACTGTTGTAGATTGCGTGGTGGGTTCCGGAACATCTATTGGACACTGAATTACAAATAATGGGCGTTAAACCGAAAAATATTTCCTCACAAAAAGCATAAAGAACAGTAAGCTCAAGAAAAACTTGAGCTTACTGTTCAACAACTCAACTTATTCTTTAAACTGTCCAAAAGTTGATTTTGAGTTTTTAGGAAGAAAAATGACATTTTCAAAAAGTGGCAAAGCCCCTCAATATTGTTCAGAATTTAGCACAGAACCTCAAAATGGTACAAATGCATTCCTTAGTGTTAATGTTAATGTATCTTCCTAACCCTGTCAATGTATCTTCGAATCCTGGGTCCGACCCATCGAGTGGTCTCGTTGGCCAGAATGCCATCGTCGTCTATCTCGCGTGAACAGAAGAAGCATGTCTTCTCATCTGCCTCCCACGTGAACGACCTACACGACCCATCTGCCATGGAACCGAAACACTGCACGTGACAGTCGTCGTAACTATTAAAAATGGGCCAAATGCTTCAACATTTTTAGCATTAACCGACATAATTTAATAAAAACTATGAACTATTAAATATGAGATGGATTAAAAATGAACTTTCTACCACAGTGTTTCAATCACAGTTTTTTATTGCGACAAGAAAATCCCCCGTAGCTCACATTCTCCATAAAGCAGATATGTTTTTCTCAGCACAGACATGTTTCTAAAATAGCGTTTCGTATTCCAAATTGCGACTGCAAAAGCTTTAATTTAACTTAAAAAAAGTGTTCTGTTTATCTACGACTTAAGTACAACTAATGTACAATTACTTAAAAAGATAAAACAGATAAAATAGAGTGTGTGAATTTAAAACGTTCTAAAACTAATACTGAACATACACTCTACGATCGACCGATGGTCGTATCGAACGAAGTTAACCGGTATGTAATTAATACCGAAAGTCATTTAAAACAGCTAAAAACAAATCACAACATAACTACAAAATGTTGCTAGAAAAAAGGGTAATTTTACGAACGAATTTTTTGAATATTTGCAATGAGGTTCTATGGATACTAATCGATTATAAGGTATTGTTATGGCCTGTCTCCATAAAACAGATCTGCATCCAACCAGATTAAAACGGATTAATATTTGATTAAAAAATAAACAAAAAAGAAATCAATTTGAGCCAGTGTAATTGAATATAATGGATTATAATGGATTATAATGGAATATAGTGGATTATAATGGATTGTAAAAGATTACAATGGATTTTTTTTACATTACAAGAATCATGCTTTTTTGCGTAAAATAAGAGGCATGATTCATTGTAGTGTAATAAAATCTATTGTAATCTTTTATAATAATCCGTATAGTAATCTTCTAAAAAAATTCCGTATAGTTTCAAAACTTGATCGTTAAATTAAAATTTGCATTAGGCCTGTAAATTTTGATGTTTTGTTTTTGAGTTAACTGAGGAGGGGTTTTAAACTGAGGGGGGGGGGGGGCGTAAACTAGCGTGGGGGGGGGGGTAAACTAGAGGTAGAGGTTGGCGTTAACTGGGAGGGGGTTGAACTGTGGTGAGGGGTTTGAACTGCTGGGAGGGGGTTTAAACTGTTGGGGAGGGGGAACTGGGAGAAGGGTACATATGAACGGAGTAAATGAATGGTAGGGGAAATTAAGCGGTCGTTATAAACTTGAGTAGGTTTAGAGTTCGAGTAGACCGTAAGTACGGCAGAAAAATTGCAAATTTTACATATTTTCTGCAAAAACTTTTGTACAGGTTATAATCTATTGTAATTCATTATAATTTAATGCACTCCAATCGATTTAATTTTTTTAAGAAACGGATTGCAATATATTATAATCGATTGTCTGGTCCCAAAAGGTAATCATAATAGGTTATATTGGCAACATTCTTGACCACGAACATCGATTATGATTTTTAATTATCCATGAAATTTCATTGCGGATATTTCAAACGAATACCTAGCTTGTTGATCCGATTTTCGAAGAGAGTGCGGAGTACTTAAATTGGGGTGATGTTTTCAGTCAATTTTTGACTTCTCAACTTAGCATTTTGTCGGAAATTTTTATACCATCTGAAACAATTTACTAAGCTCAAATGTAAAAAGATATTTCATCTGTGTTCATTTTTTGTTACGTTTTTTGTTAGGGGACTTGAAAATTACTAACTGAGTTAATGCGTTACAAAATGAATTGAAACCAGTCATTTGGTCGTATTATTAGGATAAAAGACGCCAAATACATCATTTTCTAGCTTTCATTAGCGTGTGGGGGATAAGTTTTAATTAAAAGTTCTAAAAAAAAATTTTGTTTATGTTGCCAATTTTTCGAACAAAAAAACGAAATTGGCCGTAATGTGCTGTCGGAACATTATTGGCCTCGCCCTGATATACGAGCAGTCTTGTTGTTCCGATTTTCGAAGAGATTGAGGAATGTATATGCTCGGGTGCTTTTTATATTCAGACCAATTTCATAAATCTTTTTGTTCCTTCGGGGAATCTTTCTGTGACCGTTATATAGTTATCTGCTGGAGGCCAGCCAGGTGTTCACACCACTAGTGTAACCTGCCGCGAGGCTGTTTAATTTGCTATTGTTATATAGTTTAGTCGTGGCGAATTATCCAAAATCTCAGAACAAAAAACCGGAGAATTGACATCAATGAAGCATGTACGTGGTTATTTCTGACTGGAAGCTGCAGTCGACATAGACTGGGTTCTGTATTCCCACTCTTACACTGAACTCTTTTCCAGGGGTCAGATACAGGTAGCCAGAGTACACAGGGAATAACACACACAGACAAGTCAGGAGAAAAAGACTAGAGGCATTAATTCCAGACATCACTCTGATACCTGATTCAATGCAGTTATTTCAGTCCGAATTGAAGTTTCCAGTATAATGGCGATTTTTGGACTAAAATTGAAAAGGGAAATGATTTAAAAACACCTGCGTACATGTGGAAGTTTCTAAACATGTGACTATGTTCAGCTGTCATCTATTATTCAAATCAAATCTTCAGCATGGAAAATATGCCGGCTCCAATTTGAAAATATAACCAAACTAATTTTGAAGCGGCACAATGTGCCAAAAATGAAACTATTACGGGTCAAAATATCTAAATTCAAAACACTTTTGTCAACATTAGCCTCACGCACAAAATTGAGACTATCACAGTTTGAAAAACCAATTTTTAACCACACTAGAAACCACAGTATAAAAATAAGTATTTAAGACCCATTTGCTTAAGTAAATTGCAACGGTTTTGGATCTCTTAACAATCCCCCCTTCTTGAAAGGGGCTGCTTTTTATTGTGGAAAAACAATCATTTTTTGCCAGGGACTTCGATTTAAAAAAACTTTTGCAAAAAAAAACATCAACACAATATGATCAAAACTGATGTTAATAGATCCTCAAGGTCGTAAAATGCCATGGGCCGATAAATTAGCCTCAAAGTTAGGCAAGTTAAATTAAACTAAATGAATGCTTTTGTTTCTAAATTTGAGCGAAACTTGAGCGTATTTTTTTGATACTAAGTCTTCAAATATTATGTATCAAATATATACATATTCTGCAAAACAAGTGTGTACAAAGTAAGTAAATATTTTGAACAAAATGCGTCAGAGACGAATGGATAAAATAGTCCCCTTATGCTTTCATCTTTTGGTTGCCGTTGAGATGGTTATTTCGACTGCACACTTTGTCCTTATTGTTCAGACTTTCGAAGAAAATGGAATAATACTGCTTGGGTTGATTTTTTTCAGTCAATTTTCGGGATTCAAATAATAGTTTCTAACCAACAGTTTTTTTTACCCCATTGAATATATCGACTCTCTGAAACCAAATTTGAAAATCTACTTTACCCCTTTTTTCCGCAAACTTTGAAAGTTTGAAAACAGTCAATTGAACAATGCTCTGGACTAAGTTATGCGCGCTTTGAAGATTTTGATCATTAAGCTGAAAGCGTAACCCGAACTAATTATGCGTGACCAACTATCCCGAACAACAAAAATGTTCTAAATTGAAATGAGGCTAGCTAAGCTATAACGTCGCATTAATTTCGTAACTTAAATTTTCACTTTTAATCTTTGATATTGTCCAGACATTATAACAGTTTTCAGTATTTTCTTTTCCCAAAACCTAATCGATGTGGATTAAGGGGCAGTCGGAACATTCAGGGTTTAACCCTGATATACGAGCCGTCCTGTTTTTTTTTTTCAGACAAGTTCAACAAAATCTGGTTTCTCGGTTGATCAATTTACTTATCTGCATGGGTGCAGCCATTATGTAACCTGCCACAATTCTGACTAAACTGCTCGTTTTATACTTCACACGTGGCGAATTGTCGCGCTCTACAAAATCGTTCTAAATTGAATCGACGCAGCTAAATCGTTAGTTACGAAAGTTACGGAATATTTCTGCTCGGCGTAGGGTTTTTTTCTTCAGACAAATTTCGACTTTTTAACTAGCCATTTTTTACGGAACTTTTTTATATCATTCAAAAGGTATTGTTGTCCTGAGCTTAAATTTGAAAAGATATTTACCTGTGATCAGTTTTCGGAAAGTTATGGCGGTTTAAAGAGTGCCATTTTGGCCAATATGGGACAATTAACTCAGGATATATTTCGCGCTACTAACGCTTAAGCGGAGATTTAATCCGTCTTATAAATCGTTCCAAATTGGTTGAACGAAGCTTATTTGCCATAATTGATTTGTTACTAGGAGCGAAATCTATCGCTTTGTACTTTATATGGCGTGTGGGGGGATGATTTTTAGAAAAAAAAATCAAATTTTAGAAAAAACGTTCATTTTATTTTGTTTTATTCAATTTTTTTATGTTATTACTGCTGCTCCATAAACCTTAAAAAGCAGTCGGAACATTCAGGGCTTCGCCCCAATACGAGCATTCTTCTTAGTTAAATGCACGACTCAAAACTTATTTTATTTTGATACTATCAGTCTAAAATAAAAGTTTGTCCAATATTTAATACAAATTTTTGTAAACTCAATGTAAAATTGATGTCATCAGGGTTGATATTGATATTTATAGATCTTTTCTGAGCCACACAGTGTGCCTGTATACCATCGACATGATCTGCTAGAATTATGGTCAGCGAAACTATTTGTTCGCGCGGTCGCTTATTCAATTTTGATTCTTATATAACACGATTGCTTGTATTTCAAGACAAAGCTCTGATAAATCCGACTGCCCTTTCAACTTGAAGAAAAAATCGTTGGGAGAAGCATTTTGGTATCATTTAACACTCGCTTTCCCCCACCCGCTATGTAAAATGCAAAAAAAACAAGACTGCTCGTATCAGGGCGAATCTCTGAAAATTCCGACTGCCTTTTAACGTTTATGGAGTAAAATATGAAACAAAATAAAACAAAAAAACTTTTTTCTAAAATTTGAAAATTTTTCTATAAAAATCATCACCCCACACGCCATATAAAGAACAAAACAATAGATTTCGCTCCTTGTAATAAAACAATTATGGCAATGAAGCTTCTTTTAGCCAATTTGGAACGATTTCTAAGACGGATTAAATCTCCGCTTACGCGTTAATAGCGCGAAATATATCGCGCGTTAATTGTCCCAAATTGGTCAAAATGGCCAAAATGGCAATCTTTAAACCCTCATAAATTTACGAAAAATGATCACAGGTAAAATATTTTTTCAAATTCAAACTCAGGACAACAATGGCTTTCGAATGATATAAAAAATTTGTCAAAAATAGCTAGTTAAAAAGTCGAAAATTGTCTGAAGAAAAAAAAATCCACCCGAGCACAAAAATTTCGTTACTTTTGTATCGAAAGTCGGAACAACAAGACTGCTCGCGTATCACAAAGCACAATTTCGAATGGTTCGATTGCACTTAAAGGCAGGTTTTAAAGTTTTTTGGTAGAAAAAATGACGGAAAAACTAAAAAAAAAGTAAAAAAAGTTTTTCGTTTTTTTTTCTCCAATCTACCTACACGCTGATGTAAGCTACAAACAGTAACAAATGACATGTCGCAATTCAATTTGAAACGTTTTAATTTGCCGCTTACGCTTGTTATAGACCGCAATACATAGCGCGTTAATTGAGACTATCACAGTTTGAAAAACCAATTTTTAACCACACTAGAAACCACAGTATAAAAATAAGTATTTAAGACCCATTTGCTTAAGTAAATTGCAACGGTTTTGGATCTCTTAACAATCCCCCCTTCTTGAAAGGGGCTGCTTTTTATTGTGGAAAAACAATCATTTTTTGCCAGGGACTTCGATTTAAAAAAACTTTTGCAAAAAAAACATCAACACAATATGATCAAAACTGATGTTAATAGATCCTCAAGGTCGTAAAATGCCATGGGCCGATAAATTAGCCTCAAAGTTAGGCAAGTTAAATTAAACTAAATGAATGCTTTTGTTTCTAAATTTGAGCGAAACTTGAGCGTATTTTTTTGATACTAAGTCTTCAAATATTATGTATCAAATATATACATATTCTGCAAAACAAGTGTGTACAAAGTAAGTAAATATTTTGAACAAAATGCGTCAGAGACGAATGGATAAAATAGTCCCCTTATGCTTTCATCTTTTGGTTGCCGTTGAGATGGTTATTTCGACTGCACACTTTGTCCTTATTGTTCAGACTTTCGAAGAAAATGGAATAATACTGCTTGGGTTGATTTTTTTCAGTCAATTTTCGGGATTCAAATAATAGTTTCTAACCAACAGTTTTTTTTACCCCATTGAATATATCGACTCTCTGAAACCAAATTTGAAAATCTACTTTACCCCTTTTTTCCGCAAACTTTGAAAGTTTGAAAACAGTCAATTGAACAATGCTCTGGACTAAGTTATGCGCGCTTTGAAGATTTTGATCATTAAGCTGAAAGCGTAACCCTAACTAATTATGCGTGACCAACTATCCCGAACAACAAAAATGTTCTAAATTGAAATGAGGCTAGCTAAGCTATAACGTCGCATTAATTTCGTAACTTAAATTTTCACTTTTAATCTTTGATATTGTCCAGACATTATAACAGTTTTCAGTATTTTCTTTTCCCAAAACCTAATCGATGTGGATTAAGGGGCAGTCGAAAATATAAACTCAGGACAAACTCAGGACAACAATGGCTTTCGAATGATATAAAAAATTTGTCAAAAATAGCTAGTTAAAAAGTCGAAAATTGTCTGAAGAAAAAAAAACCCACCCGAGCACAAAAATTTCGTTACTTTTGTATCGAAAGTCGGAACAACAAGACTGCTCGCGTATCACAAAGCACAATTTCGAATGGTTCGATTGCACTTAAAGGCAGGTTTTAAAGTTTTTTGGTAGAAAAAATGACGGAAAAACTAAAAAAAAAGTAAAAAAAGTTTTTCGTTTTTTTTTTCTCCAATCTACCTACACGCTGATGTAAGCTACAAACAGTAACAAATGACATGTCGCAATTCAATTTGAAACGCTTTAATTTGCCGCTTACGCTTGTTATAGACCGCAATACATAGCGCGTTAATTACCCCAAATTGGCCTAGTCAACAAATTTGAAACCTCAAAAACTTTACGCAAAACAATCACAGGTTTTTATCAGGTTTTTCACAATTTTTAACAGGTTATAATCACAGGTTTTCAAATATTCAAGATCTGGACAACAAAGTTTTTTAGATGGTATAAAAATTGTCAAAAGTTTTAGCTAAAAAGATGAAAAATGTCTGAAAAAAACACAGCCAAATTACAAGTATTTAAATATTCCGCACTTTCTTTGAAAATTGTAAGAACAAGACTGTTTGTGTCAAGGCGAACCCCTGAACGTTTTGCATGCATTTGGAGGTCTATGGGAGTGATTAGTGTTCGCTTTGAAAAAAATTGATGACAATTTCACAAAATGAACCAAATTCAACATTTTTTGTGAAATTAATTATTTTTAAAATCATCTCCACTATAAAAAAAAAACATTATTTCGCATATATTTTTTGCTGCCAATATCTATCATGTAT